TGCGTGGGGTACACGGCGTGGAACATCAGCGGGTGCGCGCGCATGAAGTTGATCACCTCGTCGGGGTAGTCCTTGGTTGACTTCATGGAAGGGGTGAAGGTCCCCCCAGGGCACTGTGGCACAGACATCAAGGGGCTTGGTGAGCTGGTGCCCGAGCACAGGTTGGAGGGTGCCGGCTGCCTGGCAGGCACTGGCTCCCTACCCATGGTGCCCGGGGGTACTTACAGTGCCTGGGCGGGGGTAGGGCATCTTTCCTGTGTAGGGCATCCACTGGTAGTTGGGTCCCTCCTTGTGGGCAAAGGGCCCGTTGAAGACCATGCGGATGTCAGCCATCGAGTAGACACACACAGCAGAGCCTTTGAAGACCGACCTGGGGGCAAGGACCTGCTGCCACCCTTTGTCATGGCATTGCCAGGACAGAGGGCAATGAGACCCCCTCCTCTCCTGCACTGTGCCAGGAGGGTCAGCACTCACCCCGAAGCAGAGAACACAGCGTAGATAACAGGGTTCTTGGTGTCCTGAGTCTGCTGGATGAAGACGTCCTCTTGGGACAGAAAGATGGAGGCGTCACCATAGGGAAGGTAGGCAGGGACACCAGGGTACAGGCAGAGCAGTTACCCATGGAAGAGCAAGAGGCAGGGGGCAGCAGGGGTGTCCCCAGCTCTGCCCGGGTGCCCCCCAAGCCTGCAGGGGTAGAGAAGGCTCCCATCCCTTTCCTGGCACACTCACGGAGCTCGTCGAAGTGCGTTTCAATTCCATCGGGTCCCGGCACAGAGCAGACCAGCCGGGCCTTCAGGAAGGTGCTCCACTTGTTCACAAGGCAGCAGTGGCCCCCGTCGTCATTCTGCAACAGTGAGACCCCTGTGCTGAGCCCTGCCTGTCCCCCTGCCCACCTCCAGGCCTGCTTCCTGCCTCTCCTCCACTACACGTACCAGGCAGATGCGCCCGATGCGGGAATAGACCCCAGGACTCAGCGGGGCATCAGCTGACTTCTCTCGGAAGAAGAAGTAGAGCTTGTCATCATTCCTCTCGCTGCTGTCAGGGATGAGCTGGGCACGGACAAAGGCTGGGTCTGGAATGGCACAGCACAGCATGGCACCATCAGCCCACTGGCACTGTTGCTCCATGTCATAGCAGGATGCTGAGTCCCCCTCCGCTGAAGCATCACATCTCTCACGCTGTCGCAGAGTGAGAGCTACATCTCTGAGTGTCTCTTGTGATCTCTAACACACCAGGAGAGGCCTGAAGCATCTCTGGGGCCCCTGGGAGCATTCCTGAGGTCCACAGGTTGAAGAGATACATCAGCTCTACGAGCAAGGTGGTGGGAACCAGTCTTCCCCAGGAAGGAACCACACAGCATGGAAGCTTCTCAGGAAGCTTCTCCCTGCCATCCATCAGCCTGTGTCCAGCCTGTGCTGACAGCTCCCCCTCTTCAGGTTACCACCCTGCTGGCTCCTCAGCCCAGCAGGATCATCCCATCTGCTCTGCTGTGTTTACTCAGCTGCTGCCCCGCAGGCAGGGGTGCTCCGAGGGGGGCAGATGAACGTTCGGGGTCACCGACTGCAGGCGACATGGGTGACATCTCAGCGCTGCACAAACCGATGCACTGACACTGGCAGGGCCAGCCCCATCTCTCACCAGTCTGCTCCCTCCACCCAGTAAAGCTTCAGGCATGTCTGTCACTGCCCCACACAGCTAGGCCTGCTTCTGTGTGCCTTCCCATCCATCCATCCATGATCAATTCATCCATCATCCATCCATCCGTCCATCAATTCATCTATCCATCATCAATCCATCCATCCATGATCAATTCATTCATCCATCCATCAATTCATCTATCCATCATCAATCCACCCATCCATGTACAATTCATCCATCATCTATCCATCCATCATCAATTCGTCTATCTATCATCAATCCACCCATCCATCCATCCATCCATCCATCCTGACTGCTGTCTCCGTTCTGGAGAAGGAGGCAGTCCCATATGTCAGGTCCCACCTCTAGTCCTGGAGCCATGATGTCCCCAGAGCACCTGGGCCTGTGTCCCCTGCACTCACCGTTGAGCCAGCGGGAATTGTACTGGTCTGTCCTCATGGCTGTCTGCTTGCCCATGGTGCGGAAGATGGCCGCGTCCGTGCCCATGAAGTCGATGTACACACCAGCATAAAGCTCCTCATCTGCAGAGGGCAGAGGTCAGCCAGGAATGCCCACCTCATCCCATCCACCCACCTTCTTCAACTGCCAGCCTCAGACCTGGCCAGTAGCCACCAGGAACCAAGAGCCACTGCCTGTGACCACCCCAGACAGTTCTGGAGGTTGGCACTGGTCTGTAACCACGATCTCCTCCTCTGCTGGCCCAGGTGCCTGGCCAGCTGAGGCAGGCAGTGGTGGCAGAGCAGGAACTCTGCTCCTGGTGGGAGCAGCTGTTCCATCCCACCTGCACATTCCCTCTGCCCAGAGCAGGAAGCACTGGCTCCAGGGAGCCGCAGGACTCACTTATTAATGCAGAGACAGTGTCTACTTTGGGGTCGTAGGAACACTTCCCCTTGCCCGACTCCAGCTTGTCTGGCTCCAGGTAGAAGATATAATCCTGGAGAAGGAAGCAAATAGAGCAGCTGGTTAGACTTTCACCCCTCCACTCATGTGACAGCTCCCAAAGCCCCCCAGGAGAGGCAGCCTCCTCCAGGACGGTGCGCAGCAGCGAGGACAGACGTGGAAGTGGTCTGCAGGTCTCCTGAGAAGCTGAAGCTCCTGTGAGCGACTCCTCCAAAGATGCTGGCTTCTTCTCCATGCCCTCCACCACCTGGAGACTTGGCTGAGCCATCAGGCTGAAGTGGGGCATCCATCCCCCAGGTCTGGGAAAACATCCCCCTCTGACAGCCTCTTCACTCCAGCTGGCTGTGCTGCACATTGTCACTTGCCCAGCAAGGTCACACAGCCCCAGCAGCTTCAGCAGGCAGGGCCTGCCCTGCAGCACAGCTCAGCACAGCTTGGCTGCTCGACCCACTGCACTTCTCTTGCCAGGGGCCATTTTCCAGTGCTTTTCTTCACATGATGAGATGCTGTGTCTGCTCCATGGGATGCCTCCCTAGCGTTGCTTCTGCCTTCCCGTGGCCATCCCTGGCACCATCACACATTCCCAGCCAGGAGTGAGACCCACACTGTCTCTGGAGGCACTTCCAAAATCCTCTCCCAGGCTGGCCCAGCCAGGTCACTTCTCACTGTGGCAGAAGGACCACCTTCAGCTGAGACAAAGCAGCAGCACAGAGCACCCATGGGGAGCCTAGGCATGGGGGGACCTTAAGCAACCAAACTGGGCAGATGCCCACTGGCCCTGTGCCCTGGCTTTGGCACATGGATGACAGACACAGTGACAGCCACCCTCCACTGAGAGGCCAGCAGGGTCCTGGTGGAGCCCAGGCTCTGGGAAGAACAACAGAGGCTGAGGGGCTGGGATCTCACTGTGGGCATCTCACTGTGGGCAGCTCACACCAGCTGCTCCTGGAGCATCCAGGCCCAGAGAGGGGCACAGCCATGTTTCACCATCCCAACCACTGCACTGTGCAGTCTGTGCCACCATCACCATCACAAACACCTCAGCCCAATGCTGGCCCCACTCCTGAAGTGGGCAATCACCTCACATGGACAACCTCTCTCTCTCCAGCACAGCCCTGGCACTGGCTGCACCATCTCACCCTCCTGATCAGGCAACACAGGAGCCATTGTGGTGCTGGCACTGCTGATCAGCTAACACACCTGGAAATGCACCAGAGCTGCCAGGAAGCGCGTGCTGGCAGCCCCAGGGAGCTCCTGCTGGGACACAGGGGTGACCATGACAGGCCCAGCAGGGGTGACATGAGGGGGCTAAAATGGACACGGCCTTTTCCCAGCTGGCACTGCGGAACTGCCCACAGTCTGGGAGATGCTCACTACCAAGCATCACCCGTTGCCCCCACCCACCCGAGGAGCTGGGGGAGCCCCAGGCTGCACCAGGGTGCCCATGTCCCCCATGCTCCCCAGCCCATGCACTGCCCGTGTTAGTCCGGAGGGAGAGGCTGGGGGTGACACTGTCAGGGTGGGCTGCACACTGGGGTGCTCCCAGGAGCTGGGGATGCTGTCACCTCCCTGAGTGCACTTGACTGCCAGGATGACATAAGCCCCTCTTGGGGCAAGGTGAAGCAGCTGCTCAGTAAAGTTTCTGCAGGTCCTACCCCAACACGTTCTGCACATTACTGGGGCATCCTCCCCGAATCATTCCAAGCCCCGTGGCTCTGCTGACACACAGTCCACTTCCAGGGGACACAGCAAGCCTGGAGTAGGCAAAGACAGCGGTGGGTGGAGAGCCACCATCCCTGACAGTGTCCCCCCTAGGATGGGGGGATCCTACACGGGCTGGGAGGAAGGAGTTAGTGGGAGGAGGAGAGCCGCCGCCAGGCCGGGGCCGGAGATGCTGCGCTGGGAGGGAAGGGGGTGGCGCCGGCTATGCCCAGGGTCCAAGCATGCCAGTGGGAGGAGGAGCCCGCGGCTCTGGCATGGCGCCTCTGTGCCAGGCGGGCTCCCAGACCCGTTCCCACCTTGCTCTGTGCTGGTCTCGGGCTGAGGGGGCTGTCGGTGGAGCTGCTTCCCCGGCCTCCCGGCTGCCTCGGCGGGAACCCCTGGGGAAAAGGAGCAGGGCAGAGAGTTAGCACCAGCAGGGGAAGGACCCCCAGGGCAGGGGGGAGCAGGGGACCCCAGGAGATGGGTGATGGATGCCCACTGAGCAGCAGCACTGCTGTCCCCCTGGGCTCCTTCATGCTCCAGGCTGGGCTGGCCTCCAGCAGGAGCTTCTCCAGGATGGATCCTGCTCTCTCCCACGGAACTGGGGTGCCCTTAGCATGGGGTAGGACAGAGTGGAGAGATGGTTGCCCACAGCCAGCCAGGCTGGGTTCACACCTGGGGGCTCAAAAATGGCACCTGCCACTTTGTTCCTCCTGTGTTGATGAGCAACGCCTCAACATCAAAGCTATGAGCACCACGGGGTCACTGAACACTTCCACACTGCCACTGACCCTGCTGGCCAACTAGTGCTGTCCTCCACTGCACTGGCACCCAAGGTCCTCCTCATATGCTGCCACTCCCCAGTTCAGTCCCAATCCAATCCCAATTTGGGATGTCTGAGCAGCATCCCCCTCTCTCAGTGCCCATGCCAGGTCTGGGGGCTCTGAGGCAGACACCCGTCTTTCACATCCAGCGCCGTGATCCTCCATCAGTTTGGGCTGGTGGCTCCCTCTCCAGCCTCAGGAGAAGACACAGCCTGGGACCTGCCACTCCAGCGCAGAGGGGACAGACACCTCACAGGGCTTGGGACCCCTGGGATCCTCATGCTGCTACTTGCAGAGACCAGCTCCCTCCCAAGGCTGTCCTGGAAATGCTCCTCTGTATGCCACACCTCCTGCCTGCTGGCATGCAGCTCTGATGCCATCCTCTCACTGCACGCTGTGGTCCTTGGTGCTGGGTGACACCCATCCGGGGATGTTCCTGACATGGCCACACGAGCTGGCACTGTCCCTGCACGGCTCTCCCTGTGCAGCACCGGTGCTGGCATCCTTGGAATCTACGGTGAGGGGCTCAGCAGCCTGGCAGCCTTGCAAGTGGGAAGCTGGCTTGACATGTCCCTTGTCCCAGTGGAGATCCAGCAGTGGCTGCAGCCAGCAGGGTGGGAGGGCATGTTGTGTGCGAGCTGCCACAGAGTACAGCCAAGTTCCAACATGAAGAGAGGTCCTTGGTCTGTGGAGATGGCTTGGCCCCTCTCAGCAGCACAACACTGTTAGCCATGGTCACACCCAGACTGCCCTTGCCCACAAACTTCACCTCCCCAGCAGCCAGCAGAGTTGAGCCAAGCATCCTCCCCACTGCAGCCTTCCTGGTGGCTGTGCCAGCACCCCTGTGGCACACAGCAGCCCAGCACCCCTGTGCCAGACACCAGCTCAGCACCCCCGTGCCACACAGCAGCCCAGCAACCCCATGGCAGACAGCAGCCCAGCAACCCTGTGCCAGCCAGCAGCTCAGCATCTCTGTGGCACACAGCAGCTCAGCACCTCTGTGGCACACAGCAGCTCAGCACCCTCATGGCAGACACAGCTCAGCACCCCTGTGCCAGACAGCAGCTCAGCATCCCTGTGGCACACAGCAGCCCAACACCCCCTTGGCAGACCCCAGCTCAGCAGCCCATCCCTCCCGCCCCTCACCTGGGCTTTGCGCCCGCGGTTGACGAAGGCACAGATGGGGTTGTAGGCGCCGGTGCCGCACACGTAGAGGTGTGTCCGGTTCCAGGGCTGGATCAGGCGGATGAAGTTCCCACACTCCCCCTGGGAAGCAGAGGAGAACACATCAACCCAAGCACGGGGGCTGTGGATTGCCGTGGGGCGGTGTTGGTGTGGGCATGGGATGGAACAGGTCATTGGATGGCATGTGGCATGGGACAGCATGGATCAAGGGATGGCATGGTTCACAAGTTGGCAAGCCAGAGAGCCCAGCCCTGGCTGGTAGGAGGAAGCAGCATGGGGAGCTTGGCCTCCTACTTGCCCAGAAAGCTCTTCAGGACCTGCCTGGCTGGAACAGAATAGGTGACAGGACACTACGACACCCTGGAGCACCACCCCATCTCAACACAGCTGTACATGCTAGGGGATGGCGTTTCCAGAGTAGGATACAGGGACACAAATCCCACTCCAGTGCCAGGCACCAGCCCCACCCCACTGCCAGAAGGGGGTTCATGGTGGTTACTCACATTGCTGTTCTTGCCTGACAGGATGCACTCCTCGATCCTCTGCTGGGACGCGGGCCAATGGATCTGTGGAAACACCAACCCAGGGAGACCAGGACTCCCATCTGGCCCCACCAGCACCAGCTATGCCCATCAAGTTCCTGCCCTGGCATCCAAAAGGTCCCCAAAGTGCCTCATTCCCCCTTCCACCATCTCGCCCTGCCCTGCCCTTACGATGAGGGGCTCGCGGTTGATGTCGTGCAGGTCCAGCGACAGCACGTAGTCCTTGCTGCCCACGTACATGCGGTCGTGGTCCTCATCCTTCAGCAGGATGCGGTAGTCGCTGGAGTTGAGGAGGAAGTTGAAGAAGTGTGCTGTGCCCGTGGCCTTCAGCTCTACAGGGGAAAGGGAAGGTGTCAGTACCCCAGGGACCCCAGTGTCATCCCTGAGTCCAAGCTGGGCCCTGCTGGAGGACAGCCCGTGAGAGGAGGTGCCCGCTTTCCACCCCATGAGCACCATGATCCTGCCACCTCTATGCGGGACAGGGGACAATGGGGACAGAGATGCTCATGGCCAACTGGGACAACCAAGAGTGGCCAGCAGAACCCCGGTTCAGGAGATCCAGCACCCCACAGCAGGGAGTGGAGGTTGCCATTGAGATGGGGCAGGAGACCAGAGCTCTCTGCCACCTCAGCCCAGAGACCATAGCTCCCAAAATTTCCAGCATCATCCTCCTCCTGCACCATGACCCCCTGTTCCAGCCAAGCCTCTGGCTCCTAGGATGGAGAGCTGGGACCCCAGGGAACCAGCTCCAGGGGAGGTGATGAGCCTCCCCCCTGCCCCGCACATCCCATCCCCCCCTGGAAAGTTATTTTTAGTCTAAGTGTGGGAGCAAGGAGTGAAAGAGGATAATGAGGGTCATGAATATTCACAAGTGCAACGAGGCAGCCAGATGGAAGGCAGAAGTGCTGCAGATGATGTGGGCCAGTGCCAAGAACCACGCGGCAGGGCCGAGGCACGAGTAAGACAGAGCACCCTGCCCCAACAGGATACAATCTGTCCTAGAGGCCACCTCTTTGGAGATGCCACTCTTTGGAGGAGTCACTCCCCTTGGAGGTGTCACCCTCTTTGGATACCACCCCCAAATATCAGATGCCACCTCCATGGGATGACATCTGGCCTGGATGCCACCCCTTTGGATACCACTCCAAGCCATCAGATGCCATCCCCATGGGATGTCATCTTGCCCATATGCTTCCTTTTGGAGGTGCTGCTCTCTTAGGATGCCATCAACAGCCATTGGATGCCACCTCCACGTGATGCCATCAGCCTCTGAAGCCAACCCCTTTGGAGACGCTGCACTTTTAAAAGGTGTCACCCTCTTTGGATGCCACAAGCAACAATCAGATGCCATCCTCAGCCATTGGATGTCACCCTCATGGGATGCCATCTGCCCCCGATGCCATACTCTTTGGCATTGTCATCCTCTTTGGATGCCACCAACAGCCATCAGGTGCCACATCCATGATGCACTGATCCAATGAGCACCTTCACCCTGTGGAGAGTGTCCCAGGAGGCACCAGGAGCAGCTCTGGGGACCCTTCCAGGGGAGGAGCAGGGTCCTGCAGGTCAGCATCAGGAAGCATCACCCTGGCTTCCAGGCAGCACTGGGCAGGGCTCCAGCAGGCAGCTTCCATTGCCAGCACGAGGCCAAGTGCCTGCACACGCCCTGACCTCCGGGCTGCACAAGGGACTGGAACATCCCACAGGTGCCCCCAGGGTCCCTCCCATGCAGGGCAGCCCCTGTGTCCCACAGCTAGCAGCAGCTGATGGTTCCCAGTGCTGCCCCTGCGCAGATGTGGATGTGCTCAACCACGGCAGGGAGGCCAGAGCACACACGTGGAATGGGAACTGTGGGGGCTGGCTGTGGGAACGGTGCCACAGCTGTGACAGGAACCCCTGCTGGCCTGGGGGCTCGGGGCCTGCCTGTCTGCCAGGGCTGCACGGTGGGATGAGCATGGTGGGCATGAGCAAGGGCTGGAATTTGGGCTGCAGGCGGGGGAGCCATGGCAGAGGTGCTGCAGTGGAACAGTGCCAAGGATGGGGGGCCAGCTCACCCACCCACCCACCCACGGCAGGCTCCTCCTCCTGCCTGCCCCATCTGGGCTCCAGATGCTCCCTGCTGCTGGCTCACATGCCACCCATGGCGTCCCCAGCCTGTCCTGTGCTGGTCCCTGACTGTGCCACGGCACTCTGGGGCTGCTCCCTGCCTGTCCTGTGTCCTGAAACTGCTCGACTGGGCTGTACATTGTGTGTGTACAGGTGTGTGCAGGTGTGTGCCCCACACTCTGTGTGTGTGTGTACAGGTGTGTGCCCCACGCTCTGGGTGTGTGTGTACAGGTGTGTGCCCCACACTCTGTGTGTGTGTGTGCAGGTGTGTGCCCCACACTCTGTGTGTGTGTGTGTGTGTGTGTGTGTGTGTGTGTACAGATGTGTGCCCCACACTGGGTGTGTGTGTGTACAGATGTGTGCCCCACACTGGGTGTGTGTGTACAGGTGTGTGCCCCACACTCTGGGGGTGGGCTGGTGCCTCCCTCAGTGCAATGCTGGTGTCACAGAGCTCGGGATCAGGAAAGGCAGGGTGGCTCTGGCAGTGAGTGACACAGGCAGAGCAAAAGAGCTCCGTCCCCAGCTGTCAATGATGGAACTGCAGGCAGAGACAGGGGTGGCAATTACACTGGGCAGGAGCCCCCATGCCAGGACAGCCCCTCATCTGTGATCCCTGCCAAGCCCGGGAACACCAGCACCAACAGCCCTGGGATCCTGGAGCGCCGGGACACTGGGTGATGGAGGGTTCCATGTCAGTGACAGCCCCAAATACCCCACATCCATTCGGATGGGCGTCTCCAGGGCCTGCCAGGGGACAGGGCCAGCAGCACAAAGGGCCCTGGCCCCCGCCGGTGTCTCCATTCAGCCCCCACGGCCCAGTGATCAGAGGGGCGCTCCCGAGGCAGGGCGGTGCCGGACCCGCTGCCCCGTGACGCCCTCTCCAAACACAATGGTGGGGCGGCCAGGACCCTGCCACCACCTCTGACCTCCCAAACCGCCACCGCCCTGCCTGATCCCCAGTGTCCCTGTGCCCCCAGAGCTGCCCCCGCAGCCATGGGGTGTCCCTGGGGATGCCGAGGGGCAGGGGCCCCGGCCGGGCTGCAGAAGCCCGCTCCCACCGATGCGCCCCAACGAGCAAATTCCCTCCCGCTTCGCCATCGCCAACCCCAGCACCGGCACAGCTTCCCCGGCTGGCCGGGAGCCTAATCCTATTTTAATTGCCGAGCACCGGAGCCAGGAGCCGCTCGGCATCACAGCCAGGGTGGCCTCCGTGGGGTCCGTCCCCTCGCAGCATTCCGCGGAGCCCCCACCGAGGCGCCCCCGGGACTCTCCTGCCCGCCCTCGCTCCGTGTCCTCGGGCTTTGCGCTGCAATTACCCCGCGCCCTGGAGCGATGCCGGCGGCCAGGAGCCTCAGGCTGGCAGCAGGGCGCGATGCTCAGCCTTGCCCGCGGCACCACCGCCCCGCTGCAGGCTCTGCAAAGCCAAATTCCCCCTGCAATGCCAGTTTCGGGCTGCATTCCCGGCTCCGGCAGCTGTCCACCATCGCTGGACGTCACCGCTGGCCCCCATCGCGCAGGGGTGAGTGGTCCCCATTCATCGCCCACTGGCACGGAGAGCGGTGCTGATCTCCAAAGGAAAGGGGAGATTTTGGGGGTTCTCGATAAACCGCGCACCCCGTGGGACTCCTCACCCCAGCCCGGTCCCCCAAACCTTCCCGACTCCCCCGAACATCATCAGGGCACCCGCATGAAGAGTTAATGCCATTACGACCCGCGCGGGTCACCTCCCCAGGTGCACCATCACTGCATTCCCCAAAACCAATTACAGGCGCTCTCACCTAATTAGATTCTAATTATGGGCTTGTAGCGCATTCAACATAATTAGCATGTAAATTACACGGCGTGTTTATATTCAATAACCGCACTCCCGCCCCCCCCACCCCGGCTGGCGGAGCCAGCGCCTTTCGGGAGCCCTTTCTTTGCACGGGGAAGAATGAATCCACTTTAAATGCCGATGGAGAAGCCCAGCACTGATCCCAAGGGAGCCTGGCACAGCAGGGATAAATCCCATCTCCATCCTGCAGCGTTTCATCCCACAAATTTAAAAGCGTGCCCCAAATTTTGATTATGTCTCCCTACTAATTTTTTTCCCTGTTCGGAATTTGAGATGCAGCTTTTTGGGTATGCGTCAGAGGGGCAGGATGGGGAGCGATGTCAGGAGAGGGATGGGGGGCTGGATGTGTCCCCTCTCGTGGTTAAAGCATTTGTTGTTATTGGGGCTGATCAAAGGGCTGGGTGGGTCGTCCGATGAAAGCAGAATTGCTTATTTGTTTGAGCGTCACTCCGCTACCCCTTGATGGGTTATTTATGATGTAATTAAGCTAATTACATGTAATAAGAGAGTTTCCGTGGCCCCCAGCCAAGCTCTTTTCCCATTTAACCGATTCACAGGTGGGAGGAAACCGAAGCTGCCTTGCAGGGGCTCGGGAGATGAAATAACTCCTGTTCCCGCTTGCTGCCTTCCAGCCCCGGCCATCTCCAGCCCCCTGGAGCACCGCCCCGTGCCGGCACCCGCGGCACAGGACAGACAGACAGACAGGTG